GTGGTTAACCAGGGGTGTTATTTTCGACGAATTTTGCACCGAACTGCACAGAAACTGTCATATTGTGCTGATTTTTTGCTTTTTTTCTTGTTTTTTTTTTTGTGTGATATATATGTGGGTTGTTATTTTCGACGAATTTTGCACCGAATTGCACTGAAACTATCATATTGTGCTGATTTTTTGCTTTTTTTCTTGTTTTTCTTTTTGTGTGATATATATGTGCTTTAGGGTCGTCATGTGTCCAGTTTTGACATGTTTGGATCAATAATGAAAAAACTGGCATTTTGTTGAATTCGTTGGACGCTTCATTTTGACTCGGACAGTGTCTTGGTGTTAGGGTTTCATAGTGTTTTTTTTGTTTTTTTTTTCGTTCTTTTTGGCCTGTTTCCTTTTTTGATGTTTGCACTATGGTCTCATATCGTTTGTTTTTAAAATTCTTGATGAAATTCGCACCAAACTTGCCAATGAAAACGGCGAATATTTGGGCCCCCGTTAACCATCTCTCCCTCATCACCCCCCGTCTCCTCCACGGTCTCGCTTGTGAACAGACTTCCCAATTTCCATGGTTCCCATTGTTCCACCTTCATTGCTAGGGACAAGTTCATCTTCTGTTTGCAACACCACTACTCTTGTTGTGTATCCCCGACGACATTCGTGGCTACTCTTGTTGTGTACGAATGTCATCGGGGATACACAGCAAGAGTAGCCACGAATGTCGTCGGGGATACACAACAAGAGTAGTGGTGTTGCAAACAGAAGATGAACTTGTCCCTAGCAATGAAGGTGGAACAATGGGAACCATGCAAATTGGGAAGTCTGTTCACAAGCGATACCGTGGAGGAGACGGTGGGTGATGAGGAGGAACGCAGCCGTCTGCGGCCAAGCACAAAAAGAGATGAGAGGGGGGGGATTGGGCAAGAATTCACAATAAAGGACGTGAGTGTGGGGGAGACTGTGATGTTCTTTGCATTGGAGGTGCAGAAGAGGAAGTCGTAGCAGTAAAAACTACACTAGGGGAAGTTACAGTTATGGAAACTGCTGAACTGAAAACTGCAGCAGTGGAAACCGCAGCAGTAGAAACTGCAGCAGCGGAAACTGCAGCAGTGGAAACTGCAGCAGTGGAAACTGGAGTAGTGGAAACTGGAAAAGTGGAAATTGCAGCAGTGGAAACCGCAACAGTGGACACTGCACAATGGAAACTGCAGGAGTGGAGACTGCAGCATTGGAAACTGCGGTAGCAGCAGATGAGCAAGCAGGGGCAGGACGAGAGCGTAGTGGGGGCGAAGAAGAAAATAGATGGTACAAGGACCATCGCAGCATGCGTCGGAACCACTGAGAGAGACGTGTCACATGTGTAGGATAGCGATGTTGGAGGGAGAGCATGTAACAAGTCCACACCTTAGCAAGGGTTGGTAGGGAATGCCCACGCAAAAGCATGCGACGAGTAAGTGTTGTTGCCGCAATTTCACCAACTTATCACGAGGCTGAAACCCTCAACAATCTGCAAAATCCCCTAAGTGATAATCCACCTTAACCCCGGTTGTGGTTAAACATCAACGACTGCCCGACAATTGATACCCTGAGGTGGGCACCAACCACTGCCCTCAAGATACCTGTGACAAAAATCAAAGCAGACTACCACTCACTCACGCCAGATGGAAAACTCTACAGATTGTCGGTTCACACCCCATCATAAGCCAGCAAAACACCCATGGAAAAAAGGAAGGTCTATCACAACCAAAGTATACACTCCAAACATGTCGATATTGGAGGCATAGCATGGCCACGTAGTGATGGCCCCGACCATTGCCGCTCAACCTGACCGGAGAAAACCGTATCGTCCCAGATCTATGAACTAAAAGAGCACACTTAAACTGAAAAGCAAGAATCTGCATAGCATCGTGTTCTTGTTCCGAGGCGAACACCGACACGTTCGCCTGAACGTGAACGAGCGCTCAAAACCCTACGAACGCAAACATAAAAAAATATTAAAGAAAGAAGAAAATCTCAGAAAAATATGAAAAAGAGAACACGCCCGCGCCAATAGGTTAGCGCAAAAAGAGCGCAGCGCTAATTCGCGCTAGCGCTCGGTGACGGCCCTCGGGCTGAAGCCATCCAACTCCCAACCACCGCCGCTCGCCCGCCCAGCCGCCCGCACGCACTGCCCGCCATTTTCTCGAATTCGAACCGGCCCAGCGCCGACAGCCATCGCCACGAAGGGGCTATCAGCCCCAAGCAAGCGCGCGCCTGGCGCACAAGCAAGGTACCACCATCGCCAGCGACGCGTCTTCGCCCTCCTCGGCCACAAGGGAGGGAGCGAACCGCCCAACGCTGATGCGCGACGTGAGCGGGCGAGTAAGAATCGCCACTAACAAAGTGACGACAGCCCTCCATCGGCCATCGCAGGCAACCAGCCCATGCATGTCGAGAGGAGAGCTTGAGAGATCACTAACGTCCACCATCCTTGCTCAACCGCGAGAAACGAAGGCCAGCGGCCG